CACTAGTTTCTACTTCTTAAATAATCTCTTCTAATCCTACCCCCTCCGGCTACTGCTAATACCTCTACTACCTTTACTACTATTGAATTTGAATCGACAATAATATCTCTTTGCTAATGTGGTAAGGCGACATGAACTGATGTACGTACGTACGAAGTTCTAAGTTCCTATTGATTGATTGACTGATTGATTGATAAATATTAAAGCCCAGTAGGTATCCCATAAAAATGTTGTACGAAACAAGTAATTTTTTAAAATGTACTTGCCAAATCTGTTAAAATAAATTTTTTTCTTTATATTTTTTTTTAGAATACTATCGTACAATCAGCAAAAAAAGATCATCTAGATATTCGAGTTTGACGTTTCAGCTAATTAATTTATGGAGTACAATTTGTTTTTTGTACTTGTTTGCACCTGTCACCCCCAATCGAGCATAGGCCGCCGACCAATACTCTCCAACTTTCTCTGTCCAGGAATATCCATTCTAGTACTGTACAATTTTTGCGCATTCCTCGCATGTCCTTATTTCTCGGTGTTCTGTGTTCCTTGGCTTTCCTCTTTTTCTCTGACTATGAGGGTTCCAAGAGAGGGCTTATCCTATGACGCAGTTGTGTGCTTTTCACAGTATGTGTCCTATCAACTTCCACGCTTCTTCTGGATTTCCTCCTCCAATGGAATCTGGTTTTTTCTCTCCCACAGTAGATTGTTGCTGATAGTGTCTGGCCAACTAATCCGAAGTATTTTGCGTAGATGACTGTTAATAAATACTTGAGTCTTCTGCATGATGACTATTGTAGTTCTTCAAGCTTCCGCTACATATCGTAGAACTGTCTAGACATTTGTATTGAAAATTCTGATTTTGGTGTTGGTTGACAGTTGTTTTGTAGCTTCAAAAATATTAATTTATCTCCAATGGGAGAAATTATTTGAGAAATGAACAATGTTTAGGAAAAATATTTTAATAATTTGAACTTATTTCAAGTCATAAACTAACATCACTCTGAAAATCAAGGAAATTTTGATTACTTGTTCATAATAAACCGAACACTAAAATAAAAATAACCGATTTAGACCTGATTGACATACTCTAGGTTTTCAAATACAAAACAACTGAAGTAATAAATCAACAATTAAAAAACACGTTGAGTTATTAAACGAAACGAAAATAATTAAATCGAGGGAATTTTTCAATGGTATCATTTACTAAAGCTAGCTGATCCTACCTAAAACTAATTTCTTTTAGATACTGGTTTACAACAAAAATATAAAGGTATTGTTTCATGTAGTCGGGTGATCAAAAATTACTAAACATTTACGAGTTTTAAACATAAGTTAAAAATAATTTGTCAAAGTAACCTCAAAGACGTATGACCAGTCGATCAAGAATAAAAAATTAGTGATACGAAATGCCCATTGTTTTGGAACTATAGTTTTCCAGGTCCTCTAGGTGGATCCTCCGTATCTGTATCTAGTTAAGGCCCTTGATAAGACATTCTCGTCCTCTCGATTTAGATAACAATACACTCACCACGAGAAGGCACTGAGTAATACTTCTCTGGAAGTGGCAATAACTGCATGGCCATAGGAGGGCATTTCGATAAAGGGAGAGAGCAGACTCTCTCTCCTCTCTCAACCGTACCAGGGCATTTGAGGGTTATTCATGCTTTACGTTGGACATTCAAATACCAAGTCATTATTATCTCATAATAATCAATTTTCTATTCGATAATCATCTTATTATATTATTAATTATAATATATACGTCTTTCTGAATAAGCGCTTCTTTGAAAATGTCCACACTAAGGAAAATATAGGTGACAACGTCCATCGACAAACAGCAGCGAATAAATATTAGAACGTAATATCATGTCAGTTATGATAAGACAGATAACGTTTCATCACTGTATATAACAAGTTAAACAGTTTAAACATTCCTGCGTCAATATTTTGCGTTCGATATCGTGAAATAAACTAGGAAGGCATGCTACAAAAAGAAACAGCATTGGAAAAATATCACGATAAATTTTTTAATTGATAACTGTACTATTCATAATTAATAAGTAGTATAAGGCAATATTTAAAAATCAAAATTAGTTAAAAAAAAATCTGGCAAGTTGAAACAATACTGCATTCGATCATTCCATAAGTAAGCAAATTAACCTTCAATAAGGTACCTTCAATCTCACTTGGAATAATAAATGTTTAAATTTACTAATATGTATATATAACTCGCCTAATGTTAGGTGCTTGAAACGTTTATTAACTCAATTAGCCTCAAATATTTGCTTGTTAAAATACATTCATCACTTTTTATCATATCTTTGCCAGTCGATCGAATTGAACTCGGTTTAAATCAATCATCTGTTGAAACTTCACTACGCATTCTGGAAATTATATACCGCTCAGAATTACGGTAATAACGGTTCTTTGTTCCCTCATTATATGAAATATGGGAATAATCTTGAAGATATTTTGTAATAAAAATTGGTAAGTTTGATGTACGACAAAAATCAACTGCCAAATAATACTGCTGAGTTTTTAAAATCAATGTACGAGGTGCTAACTCTGATTACCATCAACATTGTTCGCATTTACTGCCATGTCTGCTTTCAATACCTAGGTTGGTATGTTTTCTGGTCCTGCTACTTTGTCACTGTGGATTTTTTGGGTGTTTGCGCTGATATTTTTTATTTCTGGTGGGGTAACATCTTCAGGAAGGTCTTTGGGTGCTGCTTTGATGTTGAGTAGATTCAGTTTATTCAAGAGCTTTTCATAGAGCTCCACCCACTTGTTTCGCTATTCTTCAATGTCAGTGATTAGTTTGCCAGGCCGAGTACAACCGCATCTGTCCTGAAGTTAATCTTTTTTTTCTTGTCTGTTTCCAATTGGTTTCACATATTCCACGTGCCATCAGATCGTCTCTTCTCATTTCCTCAACAACTAGAATGGTTCTTCCGGTACTTCACATTGCGCTGACACTCCGTGTAACTATGTTAATGGCCGCTCCGGTTTTCAGAAGCGACACCGTCCTCGCGACTTCCGAAGAAACTCGGCTTCACCATCAGGCGAGATAGCTCTTATAAGTGACGAACTCCTAAATCACAAGGAGTTCAACTGGTAAGTTATTTTCTGGTTAGTGCTTTTGTTAGTAAGTTAGTTTTATCCTCTTTTATCAGGATTTGAGACCGGCAGTAACACTAGTAGGATTCCCGGAGGAATCATTTTCATAATTAATACACACAAAGCATTCGTATTAGTAATTTGAATCCTTTCATTGATAACTAGAATTGCAACCAATCAGTCTCATCTTGTATGTGAGGATCGCCTAGATACTACATGTATATATTTCCTCAATAATGCGGCTGGACAAAACTTGTCAATACTAACTGTTATAAATAATTACATTATTCATACGATAGATATAGTGGTACTGTTCAGCCTGCTTAATATTATTACTCATCACTTTATGTTACTCCATTTATATTTTTTTAAGCATATACATTCGTGAATTATTCTCCATTTAAATGAATATCTAAATAAAAACCTATACTTAACCCGTGGGTGCCGTTATTCTTTCTGTCCCTATTTCAAGGGTCTCAGACTCGACTATTATGTTATGGTCGATTGTGTTGGTTAACAAAGTGCTCAATTCGGTTATGTCGATTAATTTATGCCACATGAAGTTGTATACTTGACGTACTATTTAAGCCAGACTACAAAAAGTCATACGATGTTTCGAATCAGGTAGTGATCAAAGCCATTTTTATCCTACGAGCAAACCATCAATTGGATACTTAGTTTAGAAGAGGTCAATGATAGATCATCATGCAAATCCAGGAGCTAAGAGCAAAGAAATAAATATGCCGGTTAGCACTGGTGACTACTGAGGTGGATATGATTTCGCAAAATATCCGTGTATCTTAGATATAGGAACGGAGACCGGGCATCCAATTCCTTACGGGTTGAAAATCAGTATCCTGCCACCCTCAAAGTCGGGAGAGACGAAGTAGTATTACCGCGCTCGTATTAGGAGTGGCATGTAAGTCCGACATAAGAATGTATAGGAGACGAAAATTAATGTTGAATTTTGGTGATGGTCCCTTATTTTGCTGAAGATTTATATTGGCAGACTTACTCGTTAAAATTAGTGCTCAAAGAGGCGTACCGTTCGAGAGTTATTTATTTTTATTAATTAACTGATATTTTAAGTATAAAATGCACCAAAATAATGGTTTATCATTAGCGCTGAATATTAATTAATGACAGAACTCTCCAAACCAGAGACGGTACCATAGACTAATGGATGGTGAGATTATGATGAAATTATCCGTTGGTCTCTGAGCTTTTTTAACGATTGGGTATGATCATTCTTCCTCCTATTAATGAACTCTTTCTGGTAAGCTAGTTCCAAAAATGTCAATTTTATGTTCGAGATGTCGCTTATTTTTTCGAGAACACGTATCAATTGATTACCTGGCTTCGTAAGCAATAAAAACTTTTACACTTTTATGACTTTCGTATGTTACTCTGTTATGAGTCAAAGCACTAGCTATTCTGATTGAATCGCTGGAAATTTGAGTACAAAGCAAGCATTACTAGCTCCTTCTTTTACACTAAAAAATCTCAGAGCAAATAAGTTAGTAGTCATTTTACAAGATTATCTAATTTTACTAGAGAATTTATACATAACCTTTCTATTTGTATTTTCATAATTTAGATTTATCTTTTTCAAATATTATTATAATTCACATGTTTCTTATCATTACTACTAGTTTTCTAAACGCACATAATTCAATTAACACTAAACCCGTTTCACCAGCTCATACGGAATTCATATCACTCTGTATGTTGCATCGTAGTATCCAGCTAATCAATTAATTTGATTTACGTTATAATTTCTCTCTACCTACGTTACCTTTATTTATTATCACTAATTTCATACAACATACAAACTTATTCCAATTAACAGTGAATATTATACATTTCAATACTAAGGGTTATTTTATTCTACAAACAAGCCTACATTTATACACCATAACAGTAAATGACGTAATTATCTTAAACTAGACAGGTTTATTGGGTCATGATGAATTTGGCTTTGCAACTGTACAACTTGACAAGAACAGTCTTCGTTCAAATATTATCCAATGTTTCTGATCCATGATAAAAGTTCATTCATGAATTTCGTCTACTGTACTTGGAATAAGATGTAAACTGGTAACATTACAATTATAACAATCCATACTGTATATTCAATGCACATTAGTTATTACCTGATTTGTACACATCTATTCAATAATGAATATGTTAACATTACAAAATGAATTAATAAAATAACAATAAGGTTCATCTGTATTAACTGAATAGAATGTATTCTATAAAATGATAACATGTGAATAAAAATTAAATGACATAAGAGAATACCATTTCACATTATATGTACATATACATTCTGCAGTGGAATGAAAATATATTTTTATAGATCGACAGATAAATAGATCGATCGATAGATGGATAGCTGATGCGCAGATTTAGATATACAGCTTTGATAACAAAATCGCGTAAAGCTTTCGAAATAGTCACATTTCTCAACCATCAGATGATGATGATGATTCTCACTGTTTGTGCCGGTAGATAAGTAAAACACAAAAGTTGAAATGGATTTACGAATAAACGGGTAAGTTTTTTTTTTTTAAAAAGAAAAAAAAGTCATAAAATAAAACTATCTATCCTTATTCATAAGGCATACACTGAAGTTGAATGATGCATATAATTTGGTTGTCGATGAATTATTCATCAATTTACTGTTATGGTTGCTGCTACTACTACTACTACTAAAGCGCTTTCCGAAGTTATTTTTTCTTTCTATCATATTTTTTCTCACTTTTGAAACAAACAAAAAAAACTGAATTGAATTCTTCTAAATAGTTTCATTCCATGGATTCAAAATGAATGTTTCATGGAATTTATTCAAAATATTCCCCAAGATATTAGCACGATTTCTGTAAAATAGAGATTGAAAAAAAAGAACAAGGAAACATTAATTGAGACATTGTAAATAATTGAATTTCGATTTATTTGTTTCTAAACAAAAGTATGGAAAAAAGATGAATCCATTTGAACAAAAGAAATGAGATTTAGACAAAATGTTAATTGTTTGAATAAGTGTACCTTTTTTAGTAGATAATAATAATCATAATAATATATCATCATTAATAAAAATGGTCACATTCATAAAATATCAAAACTATCTAATCATGATCACGTGAAAATGTACGTACACATGTATAATTTAATTGTCTATAACGCTTCAATAAACCAGTTTGATGTTCATCCCACTTGCTTGTTGTCACAGGACAGAATTATAACTTAACTTACACAAGAATAATAATTACCTATCCAGGTGATATTCTATAATACCTGCGATTGAATTTATTATATCACTTGTATTTCTTAAAAATTATATTGAACATCCTGTAGCTCAAAGTACTTTGAATTATACTCTCCTCGAAGTATATATCTGATAAGTTGTACTTCATAAAACTAATCATGATTTGTCACTTGTTTTCTAGTCCTAGTTAATCAGTTTGGCATTCAAATTACCTGTTGGATAACGTTTAACTATATGAATCGATATAAGGTTATTTTCAGTTAAAATGAGATGATTAAGATAGACTATAAAATAAAGTGAATGAATTTTAGGTCCGGTCAAAAGGACACTATTAGTAACTGCCAGAAATAAATAAAATAGTGCTTAGACCATCTCAGGTAGTTTTTATGAAAAATATGCAGTATTTTCTACACCAAAACACTTTCAATGATTCATTTCTGCTATCTACCTAAGTTCTCCGAGTCTTTATGAAGTTGAGAAAGCGATAGGAAATCTGAAGCGAAGGAGAACAGCGCGTCCTGATAGATTGACCCCTGAGATTTTTACGGATGGTGGTCCAGTTTTAGCAGCTAGATTGACTGAGACCTTAGGTAAAATCTGGGAACTGGACGTAATCCTATCTGACTAATCTCAATCACTGATTGTAACAGTCTATAAGAAAGGAAAAAAGTCCTCTTGTGACAATCACAGAGGAATCAGTTTAACTAATATAGTATTTAAAATATTGGATTTGATAATATTTAGACATCTAACTAGAGCTCCTGAAGAGCAAACTATAGAAAAGCAGGCTGGTTTCAGACCTGGACGTGGATGTATAGAAAAACATATTCACAATTTGTCAGGTCTTAGAACACAGACACACATCCAGGAGTCCGAAATTAATTGTATTCCTCTAACTTAATGTAGTATTTGACTCTGCCGGTCGTGAGATTTTGTGGTATTGTCTGCCATAGAAAGGTATACAGGCTCTCTACCCGAACACTACTGGTCAGGGCTTATGACGAACTGTCATCTGACTTTTGAATCCTCAATAACATTGATCATTTTACTTTTTTGTCAGAAATGTTTAAAATGATCATTTTGAAGTTACTCAAAAATCATATTCCTTCAGATAGTGTAATCTTAAATGATATATTTGACATGTTTCTTATTCTTCGAATTTCAACAATTAACTAGTCTGAAACAAGTGGTAAAATGACAAATAATTCAAGCTGATTATAGGGGAATTTCTTTTAATAACAATTTATTAAGCTACTAACGCAACAGATAGGATGAAAATTTAAAACATAAAGTAAAAATGTTATGTTCACACACGTGTAGAGTCTTTATGTCCAACAGTATAATACGCAAACATATATATATATATATATATATATATATATATATATATATACTGATAAAATAGGAGGTAAAAAGTAATTAATTAAGTAATTAAGTAATTAAGTAATTAAGTAATTAATTAATTAATCATATTACTCACTTAAGCTTCCTCGCCTCTGTAGTAATGAAATCCAGACGATTAATATCATTATCTAATTGTTTCACTTCTTCTACCAAATTATCACTGAAATTCTCCACTTCCGTGGACAACTTCTTATGCGCCAAATGTAACTCTCTTTTAGCCTAATCAAATAAATAAAACATACAATGGACAGATGAACAAACTACATTTAAAAGGGATTACTGAAAAAAAGTGTCCATTCAATATGATTTTGTAATTGAATTAATGAAACACACACTTTTTAGATATTTAACTGTACCTCTTTTATTGAGGTTATTGATAATTTCTGACTACTTAAACCAAATTAGGTTGAACAGAGTTTAGGTTTACGATCTAACGAGTAAAAGCTAAATAACTGAATTACTTCAATAACCATGAGAGGATAATACTTTAAACATCAATAATAATGATAATATACTGGTAATAAGCTATTTGAAATAACCCGGAGAATCGTATTAAATCGTAATAAACTGAATAAATATGAATATGGATGAAGCATATCAGAAAAAAAAGATGAACGTCATAATGTTCAGTCATAAGCATAAAGATCATTAACTTATATTTTTCTAGTTTCGATTTTGAATAATCAAAACTACGTAAACAACTCTGAATCTGCTGATACATCAGTTAAGTATCAAATGAACACTGAAAATTCTATACATCTTTACTTGAATCCAACAAATCAAAAAATAGCTATTCATGCTGTTATAATAATATTTTTTACAGTTAAAATTGTTTAATGAACAAAAAAAAAGAATTTTCCCGGATTCATTAATGAAACATACTTGATGGCGGGCATTTGTACTAGTTAAATCAACAATTAAACGTAATTTATGTGAAGCGAAATCAACATATTGACGTTTGAAAGCATTCTCTTTGGCTTTATTTGTCCAAGAAAGTCTTTCATATAAATAGAGACCACCGTATAGTCCACAAGCCAGTGCTAGAACTCGCCAACCAACAGCTTTAGACATCTAATATGGTGGAGGGGGGTTAACAAGAAAGATAAGCTTTAATTAAAAAATGTTTGAAAAATGAATGAAATTATACACTCTGACATATGTTGTAAATCAAAGTTGTTACAAGAAGCGAAGACTAGGAATAAATGTTTATACAATTGTACTACACAGACCGATTGCTTGCTTATCAATTACTCAGACAAGTTAACTAATTAGAACAAACCAAAGTATATAGTTATAATCACTTAATGAGACGAATTAGTAGTTAAATGAAATTTATTAGTTAACATGGTACAGTTGTTCGTACTCTATTTCGTTTATTGGTATCATTTGAGTTTCAACATATTTGTAGGGACTTAGCTGTGAATCTTTCTTTCTTCTTCTCTTTGTAATATGTCTTAAATTTTTACTAGTTTAGAATTAAGAGTATTAGTTGATCATAAAAATATTCCACTGTTCCAGTTGTTCAAAATCCATCGAATCCCTTCCAAAGTTCCTTTGCAATATGAGTTTACCACCATATAAACTTATTCTTTTGATTTGTTGTTTCACTTACTTTTTTGGCCTTAGTTTTCAATTATTTATTTTAAAAATCCCCTAAAATAATTAATCATTATCAAAAAGTATAAAACCAAATCTAACTCTCAGTTCTATGATTAATTACTGAACTGTAGTTATTAGATTTTCAGTAACTGTGATCTTTGTACATTGAGTGTGTACATTGATTAGTAATCTAGATAGTCCCCAGAATGTGATGGCCTTTATAATATGTTAACCATAAAAGAATTATCAGGATTCTTTTCAATTAAACAGTCAAGCAGTGGTAGTTTGTGGCCATCGGACCCTATTTCTGTGGATATTGTTGACACTTAAAAAGTTCATCTAATTCATCTCATTTTTTAGATAACACAGGCATCATTTACGTACCTTAAAAGGAATATACGTTAGTGAATTTGTATAGTCCGTGAGTGTCAACGTAATGTCTGGCAGCAGAAGATGGGGCAAGATCAAGAAAGGAAGAGCGGGAACACAATGGGATTTGTATGAAACGCAGGAACAGTGAAATGTCAGACAATGGATTGATGTTTTGCAACAGGAACAGTCCAGTTCGATATGATGGATTGATATTTTGCAAATTAACGATTTACGATATGGTTTTCCTATTTTACCAATTAACTCTGTAATTTGCGACGCCAACAACTGCGCCTCCGACTCCTCATCGATATTCCGCATCGCACGGAGCAACAATCTAGTAAGCTCTACAGCCAGCACCAGTGGGTCGCCATCGACCGACAACCTCGCCATTCGGAACGTCTGCAGTGCTTCCTCTCTGTCCACTGAGCTGTCGAACTCCGTCAGCAACCGCTCCGTGACCGTCTCCCACGCCGTGTTCCCGCCAGCGACGTCCAAGCTGTCGAACACGGACTTACTCCTACCTCTCAGTAGCGTCCCCATCACCACCAACGTCGCTTTCGGCTCCTTCACATCCACCAGCTCCGCAAAGGCCTCAAACTCCTTCAGAAAGCTCCGCCCTCCTCCGTCCTCAAACTCCTTCGGCCATGGAATCTTCATCCTTTGTGTAGGCAGCGACACCAAATGTAGTGAAGGAGAACACAGGTGAGGGCAACCAAATTGTATTTATCGCAAATTGCAGAGTTAATTGGTAAAATAGGAAAACCATATCGTAAATCGTTAATTTGCAAAATATCAATCCATCATATCGAACTGGACTGTTCCTGTTGCAAAACATCAATCCATTGTCTGACATTTCACTGTTCCTGCGTTTCATACAAATCCCATTGTGTTCCCGCTCTTCCTTTCTTGATCTTCCGCCATCTTCTGCTGCCAGACATAACGTTTTCACTAGCGTCATATACTACTTATAAGTAGCGCGCACCACAGTACGATTGTTTAGTGGATTCTTTTGGTCCATAGAATTTACGAGGGCTGAATGTGTTTGGATGAAAATAGAACCATGGTGAAGGTTTTGGTGGTCCGGGATTTGACTCCAATTTTACGAACAGTTACCTATACTATAAAATAAATATTTAGTTTACTTTCCCTATATTACGATTAGGCTAACCCTGTTTGTGTGATGGCTGTAATAAGAAGCTAAATACGAATTCCATTAGGCATGTTTATTCCAAGTAATCGCTCACGCGAACAGACATGAGGATAAAAAGCGGAAAAACAAAGCGAAGTGGGGAAAGCAAGTGGATCAACTCCACGTAATGCGGCATGACTAAGTATTCATAGCCAGACAAAGATAAGCTAGACATGTGATAATTGAAGTGGGCAATGCACATCCAAATAAAATAGCGAAGGTTATAAGTGAATAATTGACAAGGTCGAAATATGTGTGAGTAATAAATAACCCGAGAATGAATTCATCAGTTTGTCCGAAGATCAGGACAGGATATGTGGGCTAGTATACAGTTTACTCAAGTACCCCGAACTAAAAAAACATTCGGTAAAATCTACTAGTAACACACCGTAAATCTAAATACACTGTAGAATATTGAGTGAGTTAATGCAAGTTATTTTTATTCTTTAATTTGTAAAAAACACTGTATTCACAATACAATAACCAATTAAGTTAAAAAAAAACTTACAATTCCCAAAACAATAACAGTACCAACAGCACTTCGGCTCATAAGAGATGGGAATAAATCAACTGTCAATGAAGATCTAGGTAATAGAGAAGAGTTAACCAAATTGGAAGGAATTCCATCAGACTGTGTCCAATTATACTGAAAATAAGATGAATGAGAAAACTCGACTACTTGATGATGCACTAAACAACTAAATAAATTTACATATAATCAATTGTTCACTAGTACAAGATAAAACGTTGTTTCAACACAATCGTAAGCAGCAGGAATTCAATATATTTATAATTAAATAATATCCTTCCTTGATTAATTAAACCAAATACTAATTACTTCTAGTATTATCTAATATGACGGGATGAAAAGGCAAATTATGGGTCTTAACTCTCTGTGGATTATTTTCAACAGTACTTCCGTTTTAAATCAGATTGATGATTATTCAGAGTAATGTTTATTTTGTTTTTAAAGGTGATATTTTATTCAGTAGAACATTTGGTTTATTTCATTGTGATGTTTATTTAAGATGTATGATATTTTTTGTATTGAAACTAACATGTGTGGTGTGCAAGTTATCACTAGTTTAGTGACGGTTGATAACCAACGTGTTCTTAAACTTTGTGATTCGCTCGTCTAGGTAATCGTCATAAAGTAGCGCCTGACGGTTATAAATCAGAAGGCAAACACGAGAGGTTGAATACGTTTATTCTTACACACCACACATGAACTATGTTCAGTATGTCATGCAGTATGCAATTTTGTCATAAATTCATATCTATGACTTTCTTCTAATTAATAATGAAACGGATGTACAAATCAGTACATAAATGAGTATATTTTTCGACTAGGGTTGTTGTCGGGTTTCGGAGGGAATGAATCTTCACATGTACCTGTAGCCTTTCATCATTTATTCTTTATGCTTCAATGATTAGTTGTTTAAATTATTCGACAATTGTATCGTGTCATGGGAATAGAAGTGGTTCTTCATTTTCAAGTGTAAATAATGAGGCGAAGCAAATAAACCGCTGAAAACCAAACAGACAACACTAACTAGATTTATAACCATGCCTGTAGGTCAGCACAGTGAAATTCATGACACAGAGGAGTTACAGTCTGTGATAAAACATAGTTTTGTTCAACTTTGAAATTGCTTATCAAGCAGTACATTAATTTTTTCAAACTCAGACATGAATATGCACAACAGAATAATATTAATCAGTTTAACTAACATATGCATAGTATCAGTAATAAGTAACATATACATCACAGACCTGAAAGGAGGAAATTCGATAAGTGGTAATGGAGAAAGTAACAGCTGACGGAAAATGAGATAATCAGTAACGAAAATTGACTAAATAATTCTAAGAGAAACAATCTTCAAATTCTTTTTCTTTTAAACATTACTGGATTAAATCTCTGCTAATAATTTTAAAATATTATTAAATGTGTTTTAGCAATGGGACTTTGATAAAAAGTACTAAAAAATTAATGGCGGATAAATTGAAAGATTAGAATTATGTATACAAAACAATTTTGAACTTTTATCTTCTCAAAACAAAATGTTTATGAATTGCTTAGTTAATTAATTGATATTTTCTATTTCAAGAAATTTGAACTGTAAGAAAGAACTATACAAAAATGTTTACAAACGTAATTATTTTCTAAAATATAATTTAAGTTGTAGTAAGTGAAGAGTTAAATGGGGAAAAAAGTTTCTAAGTTATCAACACCCTTAAAAATAATATCACTGTATTAAAAGTTAGATCATGATAAACAAGTATATATATTCTGAATCATACACTTTAAATCCAAGCTATGGAGACTACTAAGCTGTGTGAAATAAATATACACTGACTAATAAACCTTAAGGTACCATTTCTTCCAATTAATAGTTTGGCCATACAGAAAACTTACATTATTTATTGAACGACGTGGAACTGATAACCGTTGAAACAGAGTGCCTAAACTGAGAGAAAAACGAAATTGAATATCTTCGTGAAAATTTGCACATAAATTACGACAATCAAGATGGAATTCAGGAGAAAACGCAGTAGGATCAACTAGCTGAAGTATACGATTTTTACAAGCTTCATCTGAAACAATTGCCGCATGTTTATCTAAAATGACAAAAAAATCAATTTCGAAAAATCAGACTTCATGAACAATATAAGGATATTCTTATCAAATGTAACGAAAGTCTGATACTTCACAACACTACTTAATTTAACAAAACAAATGTGAATCCTTTAAATAAACGACTATTATTCTACATTCTTAACTCCGATAGTGATTATATTGGGTTGATTTCACCACTTTCACATACAAAAAGAGTATGCAAACATTTACAAAACAATTGTGTCACTATTTAAGATCTTGGTAATCAGGAGTAGTAAATCAACAGCAGGTCAAGAAAAAGAAGTACTTAATAACTTCTAGTTTCGATTTACAGGTACTTAAAGTTAAAGTAATTTTACTTATTTAGGAAGTATGATTCAGTGAGATGAATTCAGTAAGAGAAAGACAAAAGTGATGAAGATATCAGAAGACTGGAGTTTCAGAGAACACAAAGAATGAATGCACATGCACCATTGCAAACGATTTCGAGCCATGTCATTCAGGGTGTCTAACCATCGGCTACAATAATCTCGCGAACCCCAACCAGGTAGACTACATATACCAACATGACACAGTCCACTTATCAGTGACTTCATGGATTTGTGCCATGTTTTAGTTTGGCCACCCTAGCTTTCTCCCAACCTACTCCTACACCACAAAACATAGCTCGTCGAGGCAGTAGGTGGTTAGGCATACGCATCACATGTCCCAACCACCTCAACTGATGAAGTTTCAATACTTCATCTATTGATTTGCCATCCTTACCTAGCACCCGTTTCCTAACGACAGCATTGCTTACTCGACTGTCCTGCGATACACGAGCAATGCTTCGGAGATACCTGTGATGGAAGAAAAACAATCTACGACTATCTTTTACTATGACTGGCCGTGTTTCACATCCATATAGGAGAACGGAGCGGACTGCTGCGCACTACACTCGTCCTTTGGTCAGCAAACGAATATCTCGCCTTCGCCATAAGTGACGTCGAGGCAGTCGGTGGTAAGGCATACGCAACACATGTCCCAACCACCTCAACTGATGAAGATTTCGTCAGTCACCAGGCCATCAGCACTGATGAGACTCTCGAGATAAGTGAAGCGGTCTACACACTCAACTACTTCATTTCCTATCACTAGTTCAGGTGACGACGCAAGCCAATCTTGAAGCAACATTTTACATTTCGGCGGGGAAAACCGCATCCCGAACATACTTGCATTGTTGTTTAGGTTAGTCAGAAGACTCTGAATTAACTAATTAGCTATTAGAATTCCCAACTTGAACTACGACGTGTGTACAGTGACGTTATCTATCAACAGAAACAACTAATTTCGTCACATTTACAAGTATGCATGTGAACTTGAAAAGATTTAACTTCTGCTTAATAGTAATTATCAAACAGATAAGCAGTACTTAAAGATGGTACTTCAAAACACGTGGATACTAAATTTTCCGGCGACTACAAATATGAGTGATTACAGTTGCAAGTTTCATAAAAAAAACTACTATTTTTAATTAACATTCAAATTTGTAAACAACTTACTCATCATTAACTGCTCACATCGAGCAACTTCATTGAGAATATCACTAGAACATGCTTCAGTAAGTTTTCTGCCTAATTCACGTTCAATATGAGTATTTAGCTCCCGCTTGTATACGTGAATTAAAGCTGGATCTGGATGAAAAGGACGTGAATAACTGTCGACAAGTTCACTTAAACGTCGAATTTCAGCATTTAAAGCACTAGCTACTTGAGCTTCAACACGAGCCAAACTAGCATGAAGCATTTCATCTACAGCTTGAGTTGTCTTCATTAACCGAGCACGTACTTCTTCAAGATGTGCTTGAGAGAGACGACGACAACGAACAGCAGCATCTCTAGTACAGAGAAAATGAGATTGAAATTAAAGACAAACATATAACAACATATAATGAAAATAATGGTATCAAAAGTAGTGAAAAACCAAAACGTCAACGACTTATGAAATTGACAGATGTAACCCAAGTATAACATGTGAACCCGTACTTGATTACTCGCTGATACGGGGATGGAAATAGAGATGTTTCACAAACAATGCTACATCAAAGCTCAAGAAATTTTCACAACTTCCAATGAGGATAAATGTAGAGAAGGAATCACAAACAGAACTACACATTTGTAACCAACAACAACATAAAACATGGAATAATAATCCTAATTAAACTGAAATTCGAATGTTAATAATAAAATAATGCTAACTTTTCTTCGACTGTAGTCTCATAGATATTTTCCATGATTGCTCGAAATCTATTCACTACATCCTTGCCTTGTTCAGAATGAGCTGCAAATTTTGTACGAGTAGCAGACTCGGAAAGATTTTTCTATATAGAAAAAAATAAAATAGATTCAAGAAACATGATTTATTGGGATTACTTGAGTTCAGTAAGTTATAAATAGCAAGAATTACTGTGATTAAATTTGAATATCTATGAATGCAACAAATACATGAATAAACTAATTTGTCTCTAACATACTCTACTCAGAACATCAGTCCTTTGGTCGGTATTGCTACCTCAGATTACAATATTTTACATTCTATCAACTGATTAATTACATTGGAATGGCAAAAATGACTTCATGTGAATTTAAGTAAACTCTAAATTATAATGCACTAAAAAAACTATCCACGGGAAGTATGCTCTGAGATTAAAATAAACTCATGAGTGCTACGAAAATAAGTTGAACTTATAATCCTACAGTTAATTTTCTTAACGATAAAATCATACGTACTGAGGATATAATTCCTCAGACGGAGATATTAGGAAATTCAATTAAATACTCCTAGGCCAAACGAAATAAGGTGACTCATCCGGCAACTACAGGTTAACGTACGTGGATGACACCAGTCAGTATGCTCAAAGGAAGTAGATAAGGCGGTGTAGTTTTAAGTCAAATGTTATGATTATAAAGATACTAGCCCAAGACTCTTGAGAATCTTCAAAGCAGTTAAGGATCGATCTATTTGTACGAAAACTAGATTACGAAACATTCTCAAAGTAAAATATTTAATCATGTAACTTAGCTACCCATACTTGAGTAAGTACAGTGGTGTTAGAAATGTAGTAAATCACAACATTAACATGATTATAAGGATCAATATGCAACGAGTGCTGATTATATTTGATAAAAATCACACTATTAGTGTTGGTTAGTAAAACAGAAAGCATATAAAACATACATACAACAAAAAAGCGTTTGCATATTGATTACTTTAATTCATAAATAATTAATAATAAGAAAATTTGCCACCACCAACCTCGAAAACAGTTTCGAAATTTGTGAATTCCACAAGTCTATCTTGCCAACCTTCAGCCATATAAGCAACTAAAAAGAAATTGCAATGGAATGTTACAAAATTATTAGAGTAACCTAACAAACGACATGGTATTTCTGAATGAACAATCAAATTATTTGCGGTAAAGTTCAAATATAAAGACTAGCCATTCAACTTCAAGAGCCCAATTTCATGGTCATAAAGTCTCAGTGAGTGAAGGATGCAAAATATCGGTCGAATGTTTTCGAATTTCGATGATAATGTAACAATAATATAATAAAAGGAAATAATCCCAATAGATTTAGAGATAAATGTGATAAACTGTTATTTTGATGTCACTTATGTTAAAACAAGATGTCCATATGAGCTAAGTTTACTCGTTCTAAAGTAATATGTAATGCTTTTTAATATGAGTAGAGTTTCGTTCTTTACGTTGGATGGTTTGGTCGCGGAGCTTTCAATGTTCTTCTAAACAACACCATCAGCACAAACTCCAGGTAGAAATAATGCTAATTATTATACACCGGATTACTATAATTGTTCTTTAATATACAGAGTCATTTCTATTCTGTACATATGATCATTCCAGGTTAAATATAATGATTTGAACCGGAGTTAAATTTATCTAATGTGAAAATTCACATAATGATCTTTATGTAAATCTTTAACCCAAAACTTGAAAATCTACTACAGTCATGGTTTTGGAGCGACTCCACTAAGAGTTTGTATGGTTCAGTGTATTATTAATACCGTTACTTTAGAACGAGTAAAACTGGCTAATAGGGACATGCTGTTTTAACATAAGTGACATCAAAATAACAGTTTATCATATTTATCTCTAAATCTCTTGGGATTATTTCCTGTTCATAATCGGAGAAATTATATTATTGCTACATTATCATCGAAATTAGAAAACATTCGACCGATATTTTGCATCCTTCAATAACTGAAACTTTATGACCATTACACTGAGTTCTTGAAGTTGAATGGCTAATCTTTATATTCGGGTTAAACTGTGAGAACTAGTGTGGTCTAAGTTTGCTACTAATAAGTTCGAAAAAGTGGATCGCCATTGTACTCTACACGCAGTACGAAACTCATAAAACGATGAGTCCTTCAGAGAAGGAATTTTTTGCTAAGGTTCTAGATTTATGGTTCATTTCTTAACTCTGTACAAACCGTTTGAACACGATACCATGTATTGAAAGCCATTTCTATTCCTGTTTCGCGATATTATAGGGTTCCTAAACTGTTGGATGGGACGGCTTTACTGCAAATGAGTATCTGATAGGTTTATTAATATCACATCTAAGGGAGTAATATCTTTAGCGCTCACAAAGTGTACATAAATTTGTACTCGATGAGAAAGTACAAGTGATAATGACCCACCTGCTGGCAAAGGAGATCCAATACTTGCAGCTGCTCCAGGAGGACCTAAATGTGGATTTTCGCCCAAATTCGCTTTTGTCCTCATCGCCAAAACTTCACGAGCTGAAACGAAGAAAACATGTCCATCTGCCTCTGCCCGTGTGCACACTTTTAATTCATCAACAAGAAACGCCACACAACGTTGCAGGTGTTGTTCACGTACCTAAAAGGATAATTAAGTAGAAATTTTGATAATTTAAAAAGTAATATTCTTAATAATTATATTAACCAATATTAATTGTTATGGTATCGAATAATTAATGCAGGAAAATCAAGATAAAGTAACTGGAATCTACACAAGTAAATTTTTATTGTGGTGAGAGAGAATTTACTAGAGTAAAACAATGGGTAAAACCTTTAGTTTAATTGGGAATTAGCTACTGAGTTATGGCTTATGGAATTGATCATGCCAAGAGTACGGCACTTGTCCACCAATGAAGTTGAAAGATGATCACATTACAACATCATGAAAAGATTAAAATTAAAAGTCCAAACTAATAAATACCGGACTCAGCGGTTATATTGTATGCCCAACACGTGAGTGGTTGTGGCTGTGCAGCTCTGAAGAGGCTTGAAAAAGGGTAAAACATATTCCTCAAGAATCTTGGTTTTTAGTGATTTTCTGAGTGATGTCGATTTACTATGAAATTTATTTTATAGAAAGGTTTGTATAAATTTCAATAACATTACTATAAGTTTCATGAATAGAAATTAATTCTTATTTGTCTACCTATTAAGCCTTTCTCCCCAATAAAGATAATATTTTAGCAAAGTGAGCCTCAGTAATCATGTGACTAGATAGATTTTTATGGAAAAATTTTCAGTCAACTTAAAATCGGTATTTGAAGGTTTAGAAAATAACTAAAGCGAGAACAAATGCATACATACCTCTTTAATATATTCGATCTCATTTGCTGAAGCATCCCAACGATTATTAATGATAAAAATATTCGGTTTGGACAACTTCTGACTAACTTTATGGAAGAAGTCTTTCTCCTGAAAAATTAAGTACACAAGAATATTTTACTCAGAAAAAAATTTTAAACTCATCCCATCTGACTATGAACAAGATGAAGAGCGAGGACAGCTTAGGCGCAGGCTGATAAAAAGCCTACGCAATGATCGAGAACAGTTGTGAGTAATGAAATCAAAGGAGATGGAAAAGGCTTCAGCGATAGGCAACAGCAGACAGTTGTTCCGCATTATCAAGGAAACCGGTATTAGAAATCCATCGATTAGCGAAACTATCTCAAAAATGGATGGGCTTGCTATCCATTCTCAATCCAGGAGATTGGATCGATGGACAGAACACTTTAGGATTCAATTCGACTGGCCTTCAGCAACACTTCAGGTACCCACGATCTCCAGTCATCCTGAATAGCAAATCGATTTAAGTTCTCCTTGTCTTTATGAAGTTGAGAAAGCGATAGGAAATCTGAAGCGAGGGAGAGCAACAGGTCCAGAGAGGCTAACACCAGTTCGCTCCGTCCTAGTATATGGCTGCGAAACATGGTCAGTCAAAGTAGTAGATACTCGTAGGTTACTGGTTTTTTATCATAGGTATCTCCGAACCATTGCTCGTGTATCCTGTGACAACCGAGTAAGCAATGCTGTTATTAAAAAACGGGTTCTAGGTAAGGATGACAGTAGTGAATCTTCATCAGTTGAGGTGGTTGGGACATGTGATGCGTATGCCTAACCACCGACTACCTCGACGAGCTATGTTTTGTGGTGTAGGAGTAGATTGGGAGAAAGCTAGGGGCGGCCAAACCGAAACATGGCACAAATCCATGAAGTCACTGATAAGTGGACTGTGTCATGTTGGTAGATGTAGACTACCTGGTTGGGGTCCGCGAGACGACAGTAATCGACGGTTAGAGACCTTGAATGACATGGCTCGAAACCGTTTGCAATGGCGCAGGTGCAATTATTTTTTGTGCCCTCTCAAATCCTAACCTTCGGAGTTTCTCATCACCTTTTTCTTTTTCTTTTTACGTTTATTCTTTACTATGAGATTTGAAGTGACGATTGCGCCTCTATGCTAATGTGGTATGGCAACCTGGACTGATGATGTACGTACGTACAGTCCTACGTTGTAACTGACTGAATGACTGCTCTTATTTAAACTCAACATTCGATAACCATAATTCGATAATCATAATGACCTAGTCTTATTGTAGTCTAAAAGATATACAACCATGTTGATCGTGATAAGATCAAATATTTTTCCTGATCAGCAGTAAATAGCTAATATTACATATATAACTGAGGCTTATTGTTCAAAATAAAATATATGAACTACTTACAGCTTGCATTAATGTCGACTCAGCATTTGCGACAAGAATGAAAACATCCGCATCCAAACAGTGGAGATCAATCCATTTATCCATATCTGGATCGACATTTATCCCAGGACTATCCAATAGAACAACATCTTCACGTAACAGCCTACAGTGTAAACTTGGCCAGAATATTTTTAGTAGTGTATCGGCAGAAAGTTTGACATTACTCAAAGCGTGAGCCAGCTGGCTAACGGAATCAATAGGACGAGCCTGAGAAAATAAAAATTGACGTAGAAACGTCTTAGCATAACTGAAGTATATAATTAGAACTTCATGTATTAATATTTCTATTATTTAGTCGACTTACCAATCAATCATAGATTTAAGTAGTACGTCATAAGTTAGTTGTTTCTGAAAACTATGCATTCCATGCAGGTAAATGAATACAAATCTTTTTTTTGGATTATTGTGGTGTACTTTTATTTTTCTAAAAAAAAAATATTGGGGCTCAAAATCTGGGACATAAAGGGTGAGTGTATCTGTGCAACTGTGATTGATTCGGAACTATATCACCCGTCTCTAACCACTGATTGTAGTTATTGAGAAGACCCCAATAAAATTTAATTTGTATCTATCAACAGAAGCTAGTGATTTTATGGACTGATGCCGCTTCGATTTATCCGATCCTAATGTTCTTCCAACATAACCCCATCCCAATGAAACGGATGAAATAAAATAAAGCTCAAACAAAAAGCTAGAAGTTGTAAGATGAATGGTAAAATATAGAATTTTAGCACACCTACAAAACTAAAAAAGGTTTAAAGACAAAAATATTTATGTTTCAAAATATCCATTGAAAGTAAACTGATTTCCTATTACAACACTAAAATAAAAGTCATCCTTTAAGAGTGCTGATCAAATATCGAATCACACCTGGTGAGAAATATCTGATGTTTCCCTCGTATTAATATCAGAATCAGCCATTAGAAGATATCCTGAATCCTGATCTGTCCCTTGAATTTCAAGAAAGCAACTGGTAGTATGACCCAAACCAGAAGGTAACAATTTTGAACCCAACATTGCATTGATAACAGTACTCTTTCCATTCGATGTTCTATACATAAAAAGAAGGAAAAAGATAATATTACACTTGATCAACGAACGTCACAACTGAGCAATAAACAATGAAAATACGTTTACTGATCTCTAATACGATTTTATCACAATTATTCTATAAAATGAAATCGAACATTTGTGGGGCACTCTATATTTGCAGTCAGAATCGAAAATAAAGACTGGTAATGAAGACTGATGACCCAAAATTGTCAATAAAATCTATAAGAGCCAATTCCCTGATAAAAAAGCAGCTATCGACCAGGTGTACAATATAGATACTATAAAGATCACTTATTTACTACTAATCAATAACGGATTTATTAGTGATTAGTTCTATTGAGGGAAAATATTATGACTAGTATATGATCATCAATTGTATGGTTACTTATTCTATGACAGTTAAACTTGACCGCACTTCTAGATGAATACCTAAGAGGTATGATGTAGATAACCGAGTGAGTTTATACAGTCTGGAGGCACGAATGAAGTACTTTTAGACTGAAAATAATTACATTTAACATAAAATTTGGGTTGCACGCTGTTTGTTGAAGCTAACAGTGTTACCCTTGTCTCATAAGTGCTAGCAGAATCAAATACGAGCACAACTGCTATCATAATAACATAGTCAGAAGTCAATATGTGTTATGAGAATATCTGGTTTAAATGCGAAACTGAATAAACTCAGATGGGTACGAGAAATTAGTCAGAGAAATTACGAACATCTTTAATCGACTGACACAAACTAGAGAGACATCAATCTATTATCAATACAACGATTAGCGTTGACTAAACCTAATACAGCTTAAAGGTGAGGTTTCGCTTCTCTATTCTCGTAATAACTCCTAGTTATTCTAGTTGTAGTTTTGTAGATAGTCACAATACCCATAACAAGTTTAGAGTTTATTTTAAGTTCCGTATAAAGTAAAACCAGTGTATTTCTGTATCCGAATAAACTAGCAGGAACTACTATGAGATCGTTCGCACTATCTATAGCCTGACAGCTGTCAACTTTTAAGACTTCACAAGCTACACGTGAAATTATGAATGGTTTTCAAAACGTTTATGCACGCAGCTAACTGGGGGCGATTGAAAATTACAGTACCGAGTAGTATTAGCAGCTCTCTCACGTCACCGTTTCAAAAAATTTATTTCATCAGTCAAGCTATTTGTGTAAGCAGCATGTTAGATTACTCAGAAAGACAGACAGACAGATACAACGCAGAACTTCGTACGTAAGTACATCAGTTCAGGTTGCCATGCCCCATCAGCACACAGACGCAGCTGTCAGTTCAAATCCAACATTGATAGCAATAATAGAAGTATTAGCAGTAATGGAGAAGATTAGGGAGCGAAGATATGATTCGAGAAGTATAATTCAGTAAGATAAATTTAGAAGGAGAAAGGTAGAGATTATGAGGAATGCATATGTTAGATTACTCAATAGAATGCAAGCATTTAGGTGTCTTCAGCAAGACATCTACATTCATACTATAGATGTTTAAACATTGGTCCATTACATTGAACAATCTGAGTTCCAAATTTAACCCCAAAACAGAATTCAGGGGAATGAATTCGATCAGAATAAAAATAGGTTTTCTATGTCAACCATTGTTTTGAAGGCATTTTGTCCTGAATTTTACCGTACTTTTCAAGAAATTTCTGTGGATACTCATTGCTTCTTAAGCATTTTGAATATAATTGGTTATGCTCCTTATATATTTGTAGTAAATATTCTTCCCGCTCTATGAAATACTATTTTGATAAATGCTTTTCTAAACTAATTGGACAAAAGCTGTTACGGTTCAGATGAACTCATTGCACATTTATTTCCGATGATCTGGACGTTGAACTGTGCCATCCTTCCTCAAACATATTAAGAAAGTGGGACTCTGTACTTTTCATATTCGGTGGTAAACTAGGTGTTTTCGAGTCATTCAGAAGACTAAGCAGATATTTTGCTTATTAATGATCACTACATACAATAAAAGTGTTGTCTACACATTTTGCGTGAAAAGAGCGAATTTACAGTACACTATGAACATGATAAGTAATCAAGCCATTTAAACCAGAGAATAAAACGAGAACAAGAGACAAACCTACGAAAGCAAATACAAGGAACATCACCAAAGTAACATGTAAACTAGTTACCAGAAAATTTTAGTCGACTTTAATAGACTTAAATAAAAGATGTTCACTTATACTCCTAGTCTACTTGAATGAATTTCAGCTTAGGCTAGTCATGTATCGTCATAAAGTTTAGAATATTGAGCTCACTGAAACACATCTTCCTATACAGCATATTTCTACGAGCAAAATACACCAGCTTAAAAGTGAAAATTTCAATTACTCCAAAATTCAGCAATATGAACAGCAAGAGAGATCACAAAAATCTAATACCGGTGAGAACGAAACTAACCACCGAAAATTTGGTCTGAAGAGACAGTAGGAATTTTTGTGCTAAGTAATACAGGAATTCCAGAATGAGGGGGTGATAAAGAGAATGCATTTGTGTCAAACAATGGTTGCAGTTATCATGTATCAAGTTTTGGGAAAATGAAGCCTACTTCAGTTACGTTTTCAAGATTATTCTTAGGATTTACACTTACTGCTTAACAACACTTATTAGGTGCGGATCTTTTGTATCTCCTAAAAAATTTAGAAACTTCGCTTATATGATTGATAAGTAAACCACTTGGTTTGACAAACGAGAGTAAGTGAGGCACGATTGTGAACTAACAGCTGAGACTGTATGCAATAATCTCCAGTCTGACTTCCATCTGAAGTTAATGCTGATGTTGTTCAGAAGAACAATGAAAGCTTTACAACCAAAAAATCCAGCTCAGAGAGCGGGACACCACCACAATCTGTACTCTCTCTGCTCAGAGCTTAGATAACATTCTTTTGTTTGGATGAATTCCACTAAAAACCATGGATATTAACATATTTGGTAAAGGTGATAAATGTATGTCAACTTAATAGTCTGAACCGAATTTCATTGAATGAAGAATAATCTATGCGGCACTTGTAGCACGAACAAATGAAAGGCGAAAGCATCTGCGATCTTTAGTAGGAGATGCGTCAGCTTTTGTTTTGATCTATTTGAGGTTAGAAAGTCATGCGAATATAAAAAGTTACTCTAGGGAACGAACAGTGTAAACAACAATAAAGATGGTTAATCTACACTAAGTACCCACACTCAGTAAAGTTGAGCTGATTCGCCCTTAGTTTTAATATCCAATATCTTTTCCATGAGCTAGTATAAACCAATTTATTTCTTTGCACTCGATTCTAGTTCTTTCGGTACAGTTCCAGGTGTTAGTTCTACTAAAGTTTACGGTCCAATTATTATAATCGAAAATTTGACAGTGATTGATGTTAAGTTCCCTTATGAAGCCGAATTAATCACAAACATCAAAATGATATGCTGCGTGAACTCGTTTAATATTAGCTAATAAACGGTGCATACCAAAAACATTTCCGAAAAAGCTCAATATGTTATTAGATCATAGTGAAAACAAAAATCCAAAAGTAATCTATTCACAAACACAAGTCTACACCTCATACCTCTGATTTACGAGTCAACCTTGCACTTATCTAGTAATTTTGGCCCGTATACCTTCAAGCTATCTTTTGACTTGACTTTAAAGTATGTCATGACCAAAAAGTGTCTTATTTGTATCAAAATGTCTAACAACACTAATAATAGCTTACCTCCCAAAAAAAGCACATTTCATTTGATTGCGAGCAATAATTTCCTGAATATTACGGATTTTTTGAAGGTGATGCTCAACTTCAGCTTGAATCCCCTGTCCTATAAGTTTGGCAAACCTCTCCTCTAAAAAGGCAAGCTGTTAACGTAAAGCACAGGAATTACCTTTACTTTGTTCCTCAGTAAATTTGTAACTTTCGGATACATAACTTAAAATGTCTTCGTAAATAGCCCCTAACTCCTTTTTGGCTTCTTTAAATTTATTTAGGTGTGGATGGCTAAGCTGACGTCTGAGGCCTGTAATTTTTGGCTGTACATCGCCGGCAAGATTATAAGGGTATAGAGACATTGTTCTTAAAACAAGGTCGACATGTGGCGGATTATATAACTTACATCCAAAGCCGAGTTCCAATATATCCAATATTCAATATCCTTTTCACGAGCTAGTAGAAACCAACTGATTGCTTTAGGCTCGATTCTTGTTCTTTCGGTAATTTCCAGTGCATGGGTGTCTAGCCACTCGACTGTCAAATTCTAGTCAGTTGGCAGTAGTTTGTTAGTTTGTTTGTCCAGTGATTTGAATTAGTTTATTTGTTTCAGGGCAGTAGGGTTTCTGAATACCATTAGCTATCACGTTAACTAGCTGCACTTTGGAGAAAAGTCAGGAAAAAACTCTAATGCTAATAAAATTTCAGAACTAAGTAAATAAATGGTTAAATATGTTAACTGATTGACAATGAAAATCATGTCATAGGATAGAAAAATGAACGGAGGGAAAGTAGAGATAATGAGCAAGGTAGAATAAACAGGTGATTCGAAGAGTGACAATACGTCCT